GAAGCAGCTCGTTTAGGAGCCATCATAGGGCTTAGATAAAATTTCTTAAAAATCGCAAACAATTACAGTACACTGTACAAAAGCAAAAATGCATCTGATATGTAGCTCCAATACGTAGCGATGCAGACAGAAGCGTGTACAGTATGAGCCAATCAGTGGCAGTAATGACAGCGCATGCGCTGTTACGCAAAAAGCGCGATAGAGTGAAGCCGCGGAAGTCGAAGCGCGAAGTGGCGAGGGTTCACTGTACTTATGTATAGTTCTCCTTCTTTTCCCCCTCCCCCTCCCCCTCCCCAGCTACCGAAACAAATGTTTGGTTAGGGTCTTAAAATCAGTTGGAAGTTAAAAATAAATGAAGACACACATCTAACTTGCAGGATGGAATCTAGAAACCAGTCATTCTCATATCCTGTTCTTTGGGGTTATCTTGTAAAGATTAGAGTTTTAAAATCAAAGGAACAGGAAAGTAAGACGAGCTATTAGAGAACAGCCCCACCTTGCAGCTGAGGAAGTTTTCCTTCTCTCTAAGCTGTGTTGGGAAGGTTTTCAAATTACTCACTGCTAGAAAGACACAGTCCAGTTAACCCACTTGTGCTAACCCGTGACACGTGCAATGCTGGAATGGGGAGACTGGTAACGAAGGTGGGGCAAGTCTTTTCACATGAAAAACAGCCAAAGTAGAATCAGGATCTTGAATCCAAATGCATCTCAAGAACAGTATGCTCTGGGGGGAGGAGCAGGTAGTGTGGCAGGGCCAGACCAAATCCAGGGATACATATGGCAGCCAACTGAAAAGGAGGGGGTGCGAGGGGAGGAAAAAGAAATGGGTAGTGGGGGCACAGGCTACTAACCCACCCAAGGGGAGGGTATTGTTTATGTCTCCACAGGGAAAGAGGGACCAGATTTCAACCCAATGCTCCAAGATGTGCATGCAACATGCCAGAGTGCAGTAGCAAACCAGTGGAGAGGTCTGAGGGGCTGGCCCCAATCCCAACTACTTGGACACCTGCCCCTCCCCCAAGAATAATTTATTTCAGAGGACAGCCCTGAATCTGCAGCTCTGGGAGAGGAACATGTCTGATCAGAGCCCACGGGAGCAAGTGAAATGGGAGGAGGAGAGAGTGAAGCACATCCTGGCCCACCAAGCCTTGAAGATGATATTCCCGATCAGAGCAGCCAATCCACAGAGAGGACCACATGACTGGCCCCACTATGAGACATGACATCCCTCACTGACCCATAGCCCTACAGGGGACAACACTGGAGACACAGTGTGGGAATTCCACTTGATCTGACCTATCACACCGAGGAAAAACACTAAGTCCCCAGTGAATACCAAAAATAGAGCTTGGGGTCAGGGCTTGGCACCCCAACAGACTCAAATGGAAAAAACTCTTAAAAGCCAATAAACAGTCCTTAAACTAACTACAAGGTTTTCTGTCTTGTTGTTGTGTTTTGTTTTTTTTGTCATTGACTTGTTTTATTTTGTTTTTTTGTCATTGGCTTGTTGTTGTTTTGTTTTCTTTTGTTGCTTG